CCCTCCACCTGCAGAGTGTGTGTAGGGGGAGCACATGCTTCTCATATGTAGGGTCCTTATCTCTCTCTTTAAATCTCTCTTTTCCCCTCTTCTCCGTCACTCTATCAGCCAGATCAGACCGCCATCGGCCAGCTCTCAGGAGCTCTTCAGCCCTAAGAAGGTCAACTGAAGGAAAACTTCCTCCCATCTGGATCCACTAAGGCACCTGTGACCTTGCTTCCCATGATGAATGAGTGTGAGCATGTGTGTGTGTGTGTGTGCATGATCGTAGCTGACAGGAATCACGTTTGTTCCATTGTTCCATTGTTTTATTGCAATCAAAGCCCCAACAGCACATACACAGCTCTACAAACGCCACCACAGGCCCCTTTCTCCTTTTTCCTTTGTAAATGAAATCAATAGACGCAGCGATCGCATCCTTATTCTGTCACTGCACATCTGTCGCAACACAAGGCAACAAAAGAGCAAGATGCTTTAGTAGTGAGTACACGTGACCTGACACACAACACATGCACACACACTCACAGCCAGGAACGCAAATATTAAAATAATGACTCCAATTATTACAAGATCAATTGGCTTGATTTCAATGGGAGAATTACACTGCGGGAACAGTGTGTGTGTGTGTGTGTGTATAGTCTACCTTTTCAGACTTAAGACAAGTTAATTGGGGTCTACTTGTTCAATCAGGGACCAAAACTGTGTCCCCAGTTGGGTTTGACTAAGTGTTTAAGATTAGGGTTAGTAGTGGTTATGGTTAGTGTTAATAACCATAACCACTAGATAGAGCCGATATGTTGAAGGATACATGTCTCCTCAGTATAGGGCACAGGTGCGTTGCTGCCAGCGGGCATGTAGCTGTAGAAGGACACCTCCAGAGTATAGCAGTAGGATGTATCGTCAAGGAGACCACCAAGGAAACGTCTACCGGTACCAGCCTTCACCACATCTCGGTTAAAGGACGTGTTGGACTAAAGGGATACAATAGAAAAACAGCATCAATGTGAAGAAGCAGAAAGATAACACTTCAGTCAGAGGACTTGGTGTCAGCAAAATATCCACTGTGGTAAATCATCTGTCAGAACGACACTGGAGTCTGGAAGACCTCCCGATGGAGATCATCAGCCCAAACTATGACATCAAAGTTTAAATACCACTACTGATCGTGAATACCACCACAGAAACTGTTATGAGTTCGTACCATAGACTGTACAAAGATAGACAACACTTCTCCACCTTCTGGACAAGGGGGCCACCATCTCGTTTCTTTCTAAGTTTGTTATTCAGGTTTTCTAGGACTTTTTTTATTCCAAAGATTCACCTGGGTAGCTACTAGTACAAATTGTA